CCCTACGTCTCCTGGCAGCGTTAAACATAGCCTGTACTAGCTGAATAGATAGAATAATTACAACTTGCCCAATTGCAAGACATTCATGAAAAAAATCACTCCATTGTCTCGAGACGATGAGCCTCTGCTAGTTATCAAATTTCACTTCCTGTTTACTACCGCAAAGCTTGTCGCCGATATCTGACATAATCATGCGTTGCGTAGCCTCGTTTATTCGCATCAAACAGTCGAGAGGGAAACTAGATGGAAACAGTCTAGATTCGAATTTTTATTTATTTAATTTTTTGTGAATTTTGAAAAGTTCGATTAAAAATTCACTCTACAACTGGACGGAAACATGATGACTTTAAGGCTAATTAAGGCCTTATTTTTGGATTGATTAATTCAATGACTTTTAAGACTTTCCAAGGAACTGTTAGCGTCTGCTCTCACCTTGGACCAGACCCTGAATGACGGCTGAAACTTTCACTCTGCTCTGGATGACGGTGATTTCTGAAAAAGAGAATAAATCAATGATTTGTTGGCYTCAAACGGTTTTACTTCCTCAGCTTCAGTAAACCAGCAGCTCTCACTGTTGTCGCTGTGGGACGTGCAGAACAGCGCCCCGTCGGGCGACACGGCGATGTGCGTGATGGCCGCCCCCAGTCGGGGCAGRAAGTCCCTCTGGCTCTCCTGGCCGTACCTCCACTGGACCAGGACCGACTCTACGCCTCCGCTCAGCAGGTTGGTGCCTGGCCCGAGGACAAACAGACACTTTCAGTTTGGCTGGCGTCGGGGCAGCTAGCAGAAAAACGCTGAGTCGTACCTTCAGGCGTGAAGCGGACGGAGCTCACGGCGCTGTGGTGCCAGTGGAGCGTGGTGTAGGTGTACTCCTTCTTCTGGTTTAAGTTCCTCCTGAGAGAAGAAAACCAGAACAATCAGACTCTCTGCTGGTTTTACTCCCAGATCAGTTCTGTTATTCAGACTTCGGCTGCTTGTTTCTTCAGTTTGAGCTGAATCAGAAAGAAATCCTTAAAGAGACAAAGAAGAACTTTAAAAGACCAGAAAGTCTGAAGAAGTTTAGCTCCAGACCCATTCAACAGATGACAGGAAGGAGCGACTCATTAGGCAGGTTTCACTAAGTTAAATTTAAGACCTTTTCAACACTTTTTAAGACCATTAGGAATAACATTCAAGAATAAACAGACACATTAACAAAAACATTCAAATGGTCTCAGAAACTTTAACATAAAACCTTTTATTGCTATAAATTCAGATATTGCTGGGTTGCAGTCAGTGGCGCCTGCAGAAATGTTTTCAGGGGCGGCCATTGAAAAACCAGAGGTGGCACACCAAAACTAATATCTATAAACAGAAATTTTATCATGTAGTTGTAAACATGACAATTTGAAAACTATGGCAATATATGGATGTGATAATATGTGTTCGATTTGTAATGTTTACGGATAATATTACTGATTCTGTGACGTTCAGAGACAAAAAACAACAAAAAAACTATCTGCACTTCTGTAACAGTTCAGTTTTTAACTTGTTCTGTATCTTTACCATAAGTTGTCCTTACATCGCTACATATTTCAGTGGTGTCAGAAGTATTTGTAATGTTGGGGGGACACACTGGTGGGGGGTCTGGGGGTCCTCCCCCAGGAAATTTTGAAATAAGTAAATGCCATTTCCTGCATTCTGGTGTATTTTAACAGGTTGTTAAACAGACTTTTACCTACTTAGAAAAACACTTAATGTGAGTATTTTATAAGTCAAGTGGAATAATTTTATTTGTTGAGCGAGGGAAACACTGAGTGAAGTAATATTTTATAAATGTGGGGGTTTAAATGAATTACATTTTAAATTTGATGGAAAACTGCCCTTCAAAAACGATGTCTGTCATTTCCTTTAAAATGTCAAAATATATACTTTAAAGACATTTACAAGAAACAAGCTTTTTAAATTTTAAAGCTAATCATCTTTTCTATGTATGTTAAAAGTTTTGTTTGTTTGTTGATGTTTACTTTTGTGAAGAAAAACAGTGATTATAAAACCCCAAAACTGGAAATAAAGATTAAAACAAGCACAATTACAAACTACATCTACTTACTAAGTTATTTTCTTTTCATGTCATATTAGTTTTAATAAATATGATTTTGGTCTGTGAGAGAAACTGGAGAAAACCCACTGCTGCACAGGGAGAAAATGTAAACACAACCCAGAAAGTTGAACTAGCTCCTCCTTAGAGGCAATATGTTGCTCTACTGTACTG